TTTCCTAATCCAAATTGGCAGGGGTTGAGTATGTTTTGTGCTGTTATAAATGAATATAGTCTCCTGTGCACGAGTTTCTCAAAGATTTTGGATAGCAATGGTATGTTTGATATTGGCCTATAGTTGTTTAAGTCTGTAGGGTCACCACCTTTATGTATTGGTGTAACCCTTGCCATCTTGAGTAGTTTCGGGAAGGTGCTCGTTTCTAGTGACTTGTTAAAAAGTAATGAAATAGCATGCGAAAGTATATGGGCCGCTCGCTTGTACAGTAATGGTGGGACATTAGACAGATTCCCTGAGTTGTTTTTAAGTGACTTTATAATCTCGGTGACTTCCGAGGGCTCAGTTGGTGCATGATAGAAGGAATTTGGGAAATTCCCATCTAGGTAGTCCCTGGCATGGGCATTAGTATGTGGGATTTTATCGGCGAGATTAGATCCTATGGTTGTTAGCTGTGTCAGTGGGATGTAGTGGTGTTTCATTAGGTTTAGTTAGGACAATATTCTTGGTTTTTCAGTTTGTGGGTCCCTAGAATCTGAGAGAGTGTTTTCCAGGTCTTTTTTATATCTCCTCTAGTGTCTGTGAATCTACTGGAGTAGTATAGTTGTTTGGCTTTCTTTATTACTTTGGTGAGAACTGATGAATAGTGTTTAAGAATATCTTTGTGTATTAAGCCCTGTCTATATCGCTTTTCATATTGGTGTTTCTTGTCAATGGATTTCAGAATGGTGCTGGTTAGCCATGGGCAACCAAGCCGTTTGTTTGTGATCTGTTTCGATTTTATAGGACAATGTTTGTTGTATAGTCTAAGTAATTTGTTAAGAAAAATGTCTGTCCAGTCATCAATACCATTGGCCTTGGAGAATTCTGTAGGCCAGTCAACAATCTCTAGGTCAGTTGTGAACTTCCTTATTGAGGCCTCGTCATGGAGTCTAAATGAGACTTTGTTGTATTCAAGTGGTGGTTTTATTAATGTTTGTCAGGAGAAGGTAGGGTAGTGGTCTGTATGCTATCTGTGATTATCCCTGATTTAAGGGGGGCTAGTATATTGGTCCATATGTGGTCTATTATGGTTGCACTTGTCTCAGTGAGCCTGGTTGGTTTAGTTATTGTTGGTATGAGAAGTGTGTTGTTCATATTGTTGATGAAATCAATTACAAGCTGATCATCTAGTAAGCCAAGGTTGATGTTGAAGTCTCCAGCTAAGAGAAGGTGGTGCTTATTCATTTGTCTGTTTGTTATTAGTGACTTTAATTTCTCACTGAAATTTGGGATGTTTGTGTGAGGTATCCGGTAAATGGCACCGATTGTTATAGGTGTCTTAAGTTTTTTACAGTAAAATTAGCAAAAATGTAGTCCCCATATTCATCACTAAAGCAAGTGGTGCTAATACAAGATAATTGGTTAGAGTAATAGATTGCAATACCACCCCCAACTTGGTTTGGTCTGCAGTTGTGAATTGCTGTGTATCCTGGTAGAGGGTAGATATCTATTGTGTCCTGCTTAAGCCAGGTCTCAGTAAGAATAATGCAGGAGAAGGGTGTCTTTAGTGATTCAAGGAGTGCCAGGAGGTCATCATAGTGTTTGCTTAAGGACCTGATGTTGTAGTTAAGTACTGATAGGCTTTTAGCATTGTTTAGGATAGTGCTGGCTTGTGATGCTGTGTAATAAAGGCAGTTACTTTCCAATAGGTTTTGATTGGGTGTCAGATTATGGAGGTTTAGATCAGGGTCAACGTGATCAATCATCTTCTAGGTTTAAATTATGGTTATTTATATCCTGAGTTATGTGTTGAGTTCTGGTACTGATATCTGTAGTGGTGGGAAGCTTGGATAAGTATATAGCTAGAGTATTTTGGTCATATAGAGTATAGTCACTACTACACATAATGAAGTTGATGTTGTCTATGTGTTGTGCTGGAATGAACTAAAGTACAACTAGGTATAAACTAGTAATATAAAAATACAAATTAAAAATAGAACAAGACTCTCACTTGTAATTGCACTAAGGTCTAATATAATGACTTTTGTGGAGTCTATGTTTTGAGCTAGAATGAGCTATAGTACAACTAGATTTAATCTAATAATATAAAAATACAAATTAAAAATAGCACCAGTCTCTCACTAGTAATTGCAATATGGTCCAATATAATGAATTTGGTATTGACTATAGTACAACTGAGTTTAATCTAATAATATAAAAAAGGCACAAGACTCTCAATTGTAACTGCACTAAGGTGTTATGTAAGTTGTTTACAAGAATTAGAGTATAACTAGATTTAAATTGACAAGATAAAATACACAAGTTAAGGTAGCAAAAGAATAAAAAAAGTAGAAAAAAAAAGATGTATGAGGTAGTTGGTACTAGTTAGCAAAAGATAGTTAAGGGCCTTGAACAATAATATAATTGAAATATACACTAATTGCACACACAATATAGTCACTAAGATATGAAAACAATCTTAGAGTAGGAATTATAATATAAACTTATAATATAAAAATACAAATTGAAATGGTACTTGCAATTGCACTAGAGTCTGGTATAGGTTGTTGACAAGATCAAGAGTATAACTAGATTTAAATTGACAAAATAAAATTCACAATTAAAGTACCAAAAGTGTAGATATAAGACATAAATAAACATGACCACACATAGAAGACAGAAAAGCTGAACTAGACAGACATGTACAGAGCTAGGCAGACAGACAAACAGATAGATGTATGGACAGATAGATGTACAGATAGACAGGCAGACAGATAGATAGACTGACAGATAGACATACAGAGACATGTTTGTGTGCAAGAGTAAAAACATATGAAGACAAGGTTCCCCCCTCCAGCAGTGCACATTCATCAACTGTCACTTGTTATCTGATGCTTTTCATAATGCCATTCTTCAAGGAGTTTCATATTATACTCCAAGCACACACAGAAGACAGAAAGACAGATAAGCTGAGCTAGACAGACAGATAAGCAGAGCTAGGCAGACAGACATACAGATAGATGTACAGATAGACAGATGTACAGATAGACAGACAGATAGACAGACAGACTGACAGATATACAAAGACATGTTTGTGTGCAAAAGTAAAAACATATAAAGGCAAGGTTCCCTCCAGCAGCACACATCAAATGTCACTGGCTGTCACTTATCTGACCCTTGTCACAACACCATTCTTCAAGGAGTTTCATACTCCAGCATGTCTAAAACATTGCTGGGACCTATAAATACGTTGTATATATTTCTAGACAATAGTCAATGACCAAGGCAGGTGAAAATGTTCACCTGTCAGTGTGATTGTTACTATTTAAGTACTATTTCAGTACATAATATTAATGTCAGAACAAAGATTGGCTATGAAATCACAAGAACTATTATAAATTGTAATTATCAGAACATAAAAATTATATAAATTAAAATAAAAACGAGAAAAAAAGGTAAATCGGAAACACTTCTGCAAGCGGCAGGACTGGGTGTTGCCGTCTGGTGACCATCCAGAGTCAACTTCGTGGTCTTATATCTCAGTAAGTACTGGTCCTAATTTTTTTTTTTTTTTGGTCTTATACCACACAAAAAATTTCCCTCTTTAATTTAAAAACAAAAAACGATTTTTTTATTTTTCAAAATATTCAGAGTGCCACGCAGGTGAACGTAGATCTACATTTGGACAGTTTAAGGGTTAATGGGAGACTCTAGTACGTATTAGAATGCTTTTCACAGCATATTAAATTAAACTGAATCCTACTTACAGAGATTTTCAAAAAATTGGGCTAATATAATTTAAATTAATTATTTTCTTTATAGTTCTCTCAGTTGCATATCATTTTATCCAGCAAGCAGATGGAGGATGGTGCTGCAGATCCAATTTAGGTGTCCTGTAGCTTGATCGCTAGCACATTCAGCTCACACACTGAGGTCCAGGGTTCAAATCTCCTCCAGTATGGCTGGAAAACATTAGGGATGTGTTTTCATAAGACACCTGCTGTCCCTGTCCCTGTTCACCCATCACTTTAAAATGGGTAGTATCTAGGTGTTAGTCGACTGGTGTGGGTCACATCCTGCGACAAAACTGACCTAATTTGTCCAAAATGCTCAGCATAACAAGCGGCTTTCTATATAGTAGTATGTCATTGATGTCAGCTAATCCTGTATACCATGTACATGTACTTGCAGTAAATAAAGATGTTATTATTAATATTTTTATTCCAATGACAAAGTTTCAAGTATCAAACATTTCTGTCTAAAAGATTTCAGAAGACTGAATTTCTTTTACACCAGGTTCAAAATCACAGAAACCTTAATAACAAAAATGCAAAATGCTATGTACAATTAAATAATATTTAATTAAAATAAATATACTTTGATTTTGAAATGAAGACTTTGTTATGACGTAAGTAATGCTTACTTTGCTTTTTGAGAGTACACACCACTAGAATTAGTTAAATATAAAAAAGCAGCAGCAATGAGGAAGATAAATACAGTGATTACACTTGATTTTCTAGGGGAGTAAAAAATGTTAAGTATGAGTATTTATATAAGAATGTGATAAATGAATAGGGCTCAAGTAAAGCAGTATAAATGATAGCATAAATTTTATTCATTGCATGGTACTGTGTGTTCTGTTCCCATGCATGTTCATGGTATTTAAAAAAAAAATGCAAATGTTTTGATCACCCTGATGTTCTTGCTTTGTCTACCATCCTCTCGGCCTTTCCCACCTTTCCTACAGAGACACTCTTTGATTTCTTACTGACACCAATTTTCTTCATCAATTTTGACTCTTCCAGCTTTTCTGCCACTATCTTTCCTTCAACACCACGTCTCTCCACATTTTTCCTCTTTCTCCCTTTCACAATCTTTTTTTTTTTGTTTGTTTACTCTTTCTCTCTCATGCAAAACCACCTCTCCCTTATGGGCTTAGCTTTTTTTATGAATATAATAACTCTCGAATGATATGTTAAATTCTTTCATAAGCAATGAATAACACTTTGCCTTATTAGGTGGAGAGTTGTTTTACATCATCAGACACTCATGTGATGTCAGGCTCTGAGGATGGTTATGTCTACTGCTGGGATCTTGTAAAAACTACACTTACTAACAGGTAAGCAATATGTGAGTTAGTCATAGTAACATGAGATTATTTTATCAGTTGACAATGTATTTTATACCCAAAAGAAGGAGTTTTGCATACAGTATTACCAAAAGAGATTCATGTTTAGCTATCACTTTATATAAAGGAAGCAGTCACAGGATGTAAAAGATCAAACAAATTTTGTTGACTGAAAACTATGGGGGCATCAGAGTGAAGCATTTATCTGAACATCTACCTTGTGTTACGAGACTCGGCCACAGCAAAGGTAGCTATCATGACTTGATGAATATTACACATGTGCAACACCTGGGTGGCTTGATTTTGAAAATGTTTCACTAATTAGAGGCTTTTGCAATTCAATAGAAAGCTTATTAACTGGAGACAGTAGAAGATGAAGTAATCATTCCCTCAGCCTTGAAGATTTTTTTTTTTTTGTGGGGGGGGGGGGGGAATTCTGAAGAGAAGTTGCAAAAGTTAGCAAACATAAGAAAGAATAAGGAAATGATATTAGTTAAAAATTTATGCAAAGATTGGATATTAGATTGAAAGGAGTATGGCGAAAGTAAATGTGTTTGGATATTTAGGGTTGGACCTGTTGGCGGATGGGTCTGTGTAAGACAAGGTGAGCTGTAGAATAGACAAGATAAAAACAAAAGTTGGTGTTGGTGCACTGAGGCATCTGTAGAGACAAAGAATATAATCCATTAAGGCAAAAAGGTAAAAGTACTAGAGTATTGTGGTGCCAACACTGTTATATGGATGTGAAGCATGGATTTTAAATATTGAAGCTGGAGGCAGGGGAAATGTTATGTTTCAGGGTGAAGTGAAGTGTGAATATTATGCAAATAATTTGGAGCATTGAGATTAGATGTGTTGTTACCAAAGTATACTTTAGAGAGCTGAGACTGAGTTATTGAGCTGGTTTGGGCATTTAGAGAAAATGGAGCAAAATAGGATGAATTAGGGTATACATGTGTATGCGTGTGTGTGTGTGTGTATACAGTGGTACCTCGGGTTACGAACAGCTCAAAACTCGGACAGTTATGTAAGCACATTTATGTAAGTGCTTTTGTAAGTGTATTTTTGGGGGTCTGAAATGGATTAATCTAATTTACATTATCCCTTATGGGAACAAATTCATTCAGTAGCAGCACTCGAACAGCCTTCTGGAATGAAATAAATTCGTATCCCGAGGTACCACTGTATATATATATACAGTGGTCCCTCAATAATCGTCCATAATCCGTTCCTGGAAGTGGGACTATTATCGAAATGGACGATTTACGAATCAATTTTCCCCATAAGAAATAATGTAAATTCAATTAATCTGTTCCTGACACCCAGAAGTATTAAAACAAAAAATTTTTTTACATGAAATATAGATGTAGTACATAAACAGTACAGTGGCACATGATGAATTAAACATTAACCCTTTGACTGTCGCAACCCCCAATCCTGAGGTGTCTCTTGGTGTCGCAAAATTTAAAAAAAATAAAAAATATTTTTTCTTACGAAATGATAGAGAATCTTTTCCCGATTGTAATAACACCAAAAAAATGAAATTTGATGGAAAACTGACGGAATTATGCTCTCACAAAGTTAGCGACCTCGGCGCTGTTTACAAATCGGCGATTTCGCCCAATTTGAGCCCTATTTTCGGCTAATTCCATTGTTCCAGTCGCCCAAACTCAAAGCTATTTCTTTAGAACTCCATTTCTTCTATCGATTGAGTACAAGAAACTGCCCATTTACCGATTTCAACTACCTAAAAATGTGGTTAGAAATTTGCAATTTGGCCAATTTCACGAAAACTAAAAAATATGACAATTTCAAAATAAGGTCCAGAATGAACAATGCAGACATTCCTGGCTCTAAAATAACATTTTCTTTGTTCATCAGTCATGTCTCCAGGCCCCTCTGATATTACTCTTGCTTTCTATTTTGAATTTTTATTCAAAAAATAGAAGACTTACTATTATGCAGACTACTGCAATATTGTAATAATTGTATAAATAACATCAACCCATTCATAACTGCATATTAGAATGGCTAGTTGGACATTTATTGGACAATGGCATCATTTGTTTACTTTTGAACATTGGCAAAAATCAAACATTTCCCCTACTTTGAGCTCCATTTCTAGGTTCTTTTTATAGTAAAATCAATCAAAATCACTTCTATTTCTATAATATGTTTTCCATTATATCAAATGAGACCAAGAAAACGAGAATACAACCATAAATACTATACGAAAATAGACCACAAAGTCGGCATTTTAATTAAAAAAAACGGTCGGAGTTTTTTTTTTCTCATTATGCACTGCGTGCTCCAGGATTTTTTTTATATGGTGCACACTGACCACACAGACCCATTCTCTCACATGTGGGCCTACCAGCTTTCTCCTGCTTGATTTGAAGCCACTAGAATTTATGAGTATATATACGTCAAACACGGTACCTCGTAAGACGTATATATACGGCCGCAACAGTCAAAGGGTTAACAGAATAACACTTACATTTATTGGCGATTCTTCTTTGTGTATGGAAGACTGGAGAAGGAGACTGATTGGATGAATTACTGTTTGGAAGGGGAATCCCCTTCCATCAACACCTCAGGTACCAATTGCTTTTCTGGGGTTACTTCTCTTCTCTGTTTCTTAATGCCACTAGGACCACCTTGAGAGTCACTGGAGTTCTGTCTCGCAAAAAAACTGTCCAGAGAGCTCTGTTTCTGGCGTCTCTTTAAAACTTCCCTAAAATGGGCCAAGACTCTGTCACTGTACAAGTTGCCGATATGGCTTGCAACATCCTTCTCTGGGTGATGTTTCTCCATAAATCTTTCCATCCTACCCCACATTTCAAAAATCTCCTTAATTTCTGAAGAAGGCACCTTCCTCCATCTCTCTTCCTCCTCCTCTGCAGCAAGATTCTGAGCTGCGATCTATTGCTCTTCCTGCTGAAGCTATTGCAGTTCCTCGGTGGTTAGCTCTTCGTTGTGGTCCTCCACCAACTCTTCCACATCCTCCAAACTCACATCCAACCCCATGGAACTCCCCAGTGCCACAATGGATTTAACAACTGACATAGGCTCATCAGGGTCAGCCCCAAACCCTTCAAAATCCCTCTTGTGGACACAATCTGGCCACAATTTTCTCCAAGCAGAGTTCAAAGTCCTGGTAGTCACTCCCTCCCAAGCCTTACCTATAAGGCTTACACAATGGAGAATACTGAAATGTTCTTTCCAAAAATCTCGTAGGGTCAAGTGAGTGTCCGAGGTCACATTCAAGCACCTTTCAAACATTGCTTTGGTGTAGAGTTTTTTAAAGTTTGCAATGACCTGCTGGTCCATGGACTGGAGGAGAGGAGTGGTATTCGGGGGCAAGAACTTTATTGTGATGAACCCAAACTCCTTCAGAATTAGGTCATCCAAGTTTGGAGGATGAGCAGGTGCATTGTCCATTACTAGGAAGCACTTGAGATCCAATTTCTTTTCCAGGAGGTAATTCTTCACACTAGGGCCAAACACTTCATTGAACCACTCTACAGAAATTTCCCTCGTAACCCATGCCTTACTACAGTGGACCCCCGGTATTCGATGGCATCGGTATTCGATAAATCCGGTTTTCGATGCATTTTAAAGCAAAAAATTTTCCTCGGTATTCGATTGAAAACCCGGTATTCGATACGATTCATACGAGACCTGTCCACGTGTGGCCTGAACTGCACCGTGTGTGCTAGTGTTTACAAGCCAGCCAGTGTGCGCGCATCTAAGGATACATTCAGTACATTCCATATTATCCATATTATCACTGTGTTTGGTGCTTGTTTCTGCAAAATAAGTCACCATGGGCCCCAAGAAAGCTTCTAGTGCCATCCCTTCGAGAAAAAAGTCGCTAATGACTTATGAAATGAAGAAAGAGATAATTGCAAAGTACGAAAGTGGAGTGTGTGTGTCGGAGCTGGTCAGGTTGTATAATAAACCCCAATCAACCATCTCTACTATAGTGACCAGGAAAACGGCAATCAAGGAAGCTGTTCTTGCAAAAGGTGCAACTGTGATTACGAAACAGCGACCGCAAGTGTTAGAAAATGTTGAGAGATTGTTACTGGTGTGGATAAATGAAAAACAGATAGCAGGAGATAGCATCTCTCAAGCGATCATTTGTGAAAAGGCTAGGCAGTTGCATGACGATTTGGTAAAGAAATTGCCTGCAACTAGTGGTGATGTGAGTGAATTTAAGGCCAGCAAAGTTTGGTTTGAAAGATTTAAGAATTGTAGTGGCATACATAGTGTGATTAGGCATGGTGAGGCTGCCAGTTATGTTGTGCGACAGAAGTCCAGTGACTCTCAAGCTGGTCCTAGTGGCATTAAAAGAAGAAGGGAAGTAACCCCGGAAAAGGACTTGCTACCTCAAGTCCTAATGGAAGGGGATTCCCCTTCGACACACTAACACCTTTCCCCTCCTCCCATCCCATCAATCATCACCAGATCTTCAATTATTTTATTGTTAATGTAATTATTCTATTACATTAAACTTAATATTTCATGTAGTAAAAATTTTTTTTTTCATACTTTTGGGTGTCTTGCACGGATTAATTTGATTTCCATTATTTCTTATGAGGAAAATTGTTTCGGTTTTCGATATTATCGGTATTCGATGAGCTCTGAGGAACGGATTAATATCGAATACCAGGGGTCCACTGTATTAGATTTCCAAAAACACACAATTTACTCTTCATAACATTGTTTTTCTTGAACACTCTGGGATTTTCAGAATGGTACACTAGTAACGGCTTCACTTTGAAATCCCTACTAGCATTAGCACAGAACATTGGCGTCAGCCTGTCTTTCATAGGCTTGTGTCCTGGCAGCGCCTTTTCTTCCTGAGTAATGTAGGTCTTCTTTGGCATTTTCTTCCAAAAGAGGCCTGTTTCATCACAATTGAACACTTGTTCAGGTTTCAGTCCTTCACTGTTTATGTACTCCTTGAATTCATGCACATATTTTTC